GATAACACATAATTCTTTACAAGTAATCGAATTCCAAAAGAGAACCATTATAAGGCGCTTTGTTTGCACTCAAATAATTGTGAAGAAATGAATAATCAGCAAACAGTAAAATCAACAGGTATGCAACGAACGGATCGAAATCGGTTTGAGCGAGGGAAAGCGATTAATGAATAAGTTATGCCATCAAACATATTTGACACTGACATTTGAAAAAAAAGTTCAAATACTAACCATTTTTGGCCTTTCAAATGATACATGAGATTGAACATGGAGGTTCAAACCAACTACTGTACAACACTATCTCATGGCTATGATAAGTTAAGCTACAAAACACCCGATGACGGCTTTCTTCCAGGCCAGGATTCCTTCGCATATTTCTTCTTATGCGGTTCATCGCTGTCCATCGGAATGATGTGTGGATGCACTGAAACGAAGACGTTAGGATTTTGTGGCATAAAATTTGCTTTTATTCCAGTTTAGGGCTGCAAATGTGCAAAATAGGTACCTATTCAATATGATTAAAATCAGCTTTCGATCAAGCAAGAAGACAAAGAAAAAATGACAGTAAGAAAGTAGTGATAACATTGACTCACGATTATGTTGTCCGGGTTCAGGTAATGTCTTACTGTACAACTCCAAATCAGGAGCTGCATTCAGGGACATACCGCCCAACGTTGAGCACATCGGTGATGCAAATGAAACATCGCGAAACGGTCGCACGATCTGGAAAATATCAATAAAAAGTAACGATGTCAGTATTAGAAAACGCCACATCATGACTTCCAAAATAATGGAAGAAAAAAGAAAAATTGAAATCTGTGAATAAACAAAGCGAATGCTTACCTTTCGCGGAGGTTCTTGACCTTTGCTGGTGGGTGCTGTTCTCTTGTTTGGGTTGTTGGAAATGATGGCAGTCGCTACAAGATTTCGAAAACGCCCGATACTTGGATCTACATCTTCTGAAAGAACATTTTATACGAACACTATACAGATTTTCTCAGTGTTTCTAGATTATTTAGTCATGGTAGCTAGAATTTAGGTGATGCCAACAAGATATTTTCTTTTTCTCTCGAATCATGGTACATAGAGAGAAGGGTGCCTATAGACAAACCTTCCCGACAAGGGCAATTGAGCTCTTGGTAAAGCTCTAGAAGCAAGCAAGCTATCTGTTAAAGAAGTTGTTTGGTTGGCGTACTCTACAGATGTGATAAGCTTACAGTTATAGAAGGTAAGTTAGTTCTTTATGACGATTCTAGAAAATGGATAGTGACTGGGGTTGTTTAAAAGCAGTGGGACGTTATTATAAATTGAACTTTCCAAAATGGTAAGCGATACATTTCTGTATACCATCACATAAAAATTTTCTTCCATCATAAGACAAAAAACAAGACATAAAATTTACACACACACCTGGATTGATAATCTCCTCTTGTTCAATGAAGGCAACGTTGCCGCGAGGACGTTTTTTACGGCGTGCCTCTTCGGCGGAAATCGGAAGCTGAGGTATTCGCCGATTCAAAGCAGTATTGTATTCGGTTACATTCTGAAAGGGAACCAATTGGTGAAATTCAATTTTGCAAACACACACTGAGAATGGAAGGAATATTTGC